TACAGTATTTGCTGAAGCAGTACGCTCACTCTGCCCAAGAGCTGGGCCGGCCCTGCTGCATTCCTAATAACAATAGATGCACTTCCTGTTGTTTAGTGTGCTTCTGCGATGAATATTTTAAAAACGTTTTGTAGCCTGTGATTTGCATGTTCCTTTGAAGCTGTCTCTGATAAGGGATGCAATCGTTATCTGGCATCAGTTTATTGATTTAGATAGACAAAAGAACAAAGCACAGAAACAGAATTTACCCAGATGAATCTGTACTCTTCAGCCTCAAACAGGAAAACATCTTACAGTTCCTGCTAAAATAGCTTTGAGACGTATAATGTATCTGCTGATGTAATAGCGCTGTTTGATTGTTACCTGAGGGACTAAACAGGAACATTTGTTTGCATGTGTTCTGTTAGAAAAGATGAATTTATTATGCAGTTGAGCTCCTACTATATACAGCATCTGATGTTTCTGTCTGGAAATTAGTTCAATCAAAACTATAAAAGATGCAAGCAAATTAGGTACTGTATCTCTAGAATATGGATGCTGTTTACTGTGAAATTCCTTGTTTTGAGTTCCATTGTAATGAACAAAAGATGTCCATGAATCTTGTTAGATTTCTGCTCTTTACCCATTCATATCAAGAATGTTGATGTAGGAAAATGTTTTGCTTACAACGTCCTTCCCTAAAACGATCCCGGATCTAAAGTACTTGGAAAGACCAAAGAAAGAAGATTTCTGTGGTTTTCATGGGTAAATTGTTGACAAAAATGCTTTTACACGTATGGGATTGTGGTAATGTTGAAGATCCTTCTCATTTCCAGCTATCTTACATTTTGCTTTTGCCCTATTTGAAACGTGCAATATTCAGTGTTTGGAAGTAACTCCTTGCAAATCATGAATTCATTATAATCGCTTTTTCTCTACACGTCTCTCTTTATGAGCCTGCTCGTGTGTTAAGGTCATCAGGAGAGGCCTTGCTCTGAGTCCAGACACCTTCACAGGTGTGTTTGCTGGGGACACAGGAGAGGACCTTCTCTGTCACTATTCCCAGACTTTGGAACTCCCTCCCACAGGAGACTGGCCTGGCCTCATCTTTATTATTGTTCTATGAGCAGGCAAAGACCTTTCTCTTTAGGCAAACTTTCCCTGAGTGAATTGGCTGCCCAGTGGGATTTTTTTTAAAATGGATTGGATCTTACATCATTGAATGTGTTTCAATGTAGATTATTTGTTTTGGCATTGTATTCATTGATCTTTTAGTATTGTATACTCACCGTTATTAGCTTAAATACTGTCTTTTAATTGTTGTAAGCCACCTTGGGTCCTTTTTAAAAAGAAAGGCAGGTTTAATTAGATGGATGGATGGATGGACGGACAGACAGACAGACAGACGACAGACAGATACATACAGTGGACCCTCGATTTACAGACGGCTCGACTTACAGACTTTTCGAGTTATAGACTTCTCTGGCCGCAAAATTTAGGTTCGACTTGCAGCCAGAGAATCGACCTACAGACCAGAAAAAACACAAAATGGAACAAAAACGGCCAGTTACGGAATTAATCGGTTTTCAATGCATTGTAGGTCAATGGAGACTCGACCTACAGACTTTTTGACCTGTGGCAACCGTTCCAATACGGATTAACTCCGTAAGTAGAGGGTCCACTGTAGATATTACACCCACCCACCTACCTGCCTACCTAGTTGCAAAGGCAACTGTTTCTAGTTTCTTTTGAAAATGGAGAAAGGCAAGAGTTTGTTTTAGAAATTGGAACTATAAAAGCAACTCAGTACCTTTTGGTGCTTTGGTACTGTAATTAATAAATGTTGGAATGTAATTTCCCAAGTTCTGTAACACAGCAAATAAACTACTGTATTGAAGAAAGATACCACCATGTATCACTTCCCTTCAGTTTTTTCTCTCTCCATACATTATACAGTTAGTTCCCCCCCCCCAGGCCTTTGATAATCTTCGTTTCCTTATCACTGCATACCGTACTTTGTATCATCATACAGAAGAAGTGACAGGCTTGAAACAAAGAGTAATGCAGACATCCTAGGGAAGCAGCATATATAAGAGCTGGCGCTAGGATGACAGGCTTGTTAAAAGACTATCGCGCACAGCAATACATATACATACACCTAGTATGATAATTGCTGTCTTTTTCCTAACAACACATGATGATGACATAACAGCAGATCTCAGACATCTGAGCCTCACCGAGGGAATTCTCTGTAGCAGATGTTTACGGTTGGGCGTGGTTATAAACAAGTGCAGCACATTGGGAAGAACTGACATGGCTACCACACGTACGTTATTTTTTGCAAATAATTGGTAGAAGGAGCAGATGGAGGGGAGTATGGTGCTATGGTTACAGCACTGTGCAGGGAGTCGGGAGAGCCTGATTCAGCTGGCCAACCAGCCATAAAACTCACGGAGCGACTTTGGGACCATCACCGTCTGAGAGCGTGACGTACTTCACCTGGTTATTGTGAGAAAAAAGTAGGGAGAAGAATAGCAACACATGCTGCCTGGAGGTGGTTGGAGGAAAAGCTAGATTTAAGGAGGAGAAGGGAAAAGGAATAAGAGTAAGTAGTAATGGTAAGTTAGTGGTGTGCTGTCAAGTTGCAAACTGACTTATGACAACCCAACAGGGCTTTCCAGGTAAGTGAGATATTTAAGGAGTGGCTTCACCAGTTCCACTTTCCCAGTGAACTTCCATGGCCAATTGGGGATTTGAACCCTCATCTCCAGAGTCCTAGTCTGCCATTCTGTCCACTACAACACACTGGGTACTCAAGTAGTAATAGCAACAACACCAATATCCTAGGGACTTTGGGTTGGGTTTGCAATTCATATAATATGCCACTGATGACAAAGAGTTGCATCTAAACTAGCTGGTCAGAGGGAGGCATCAGTGAAAAGTACCAATATCCTAGGGACTTCGGGTTGGCTTTGCAATTCCTATAATATGCCACTGGTGACAAAGAGTTGCATCTAGACTAAGCTGGTCAGAGGGAGGCATCAGTGAAAAGGATGTGAAACATTTCTCTTGGCTTCAGTGAGCTCTATGTGCAACTTAATTTGTGTGACTCAGACTTAGTGTTGTTTTGGCCAAAATCCTCTTGCATGGCTATACATATGGCATAACTTTTGGGAGCAAATTGGCCCAAGTTAAGAAATCATCATAGACATTATCAGCTGCACACTGAGTCATAGAACTCAGTAAGAAATGGATAATGTTCACGGTGATTCCGTAACTTGGAGAATTCTGCCTCTGCAGGTTTTGCTGCTTTGGTTATGCCAGCATAACTTGGTAAGCAAATTTGGGTCAATGACTGAATACAGTGCAATGGGAATCAAATCGCACCACAATATAAATCTGTCATACTTCCGTGCTTAGGCTGCTGTGTACAATTTTGCTTCTCCGTTTTGAACAGAACAAAAGAGTTGTAGAAGGAACGGGTCTCATCAAAGCAAAGGGATGTTCATGTATTACAACTGCCAGAATCACACCATCTGGCAGAAGGATCCTAGCCATTGTAGTTAAAACAAACACATGAAAAAAATAGAACAAAACCTCTTGCAAGCTCTACCCAAAAGGGGTCTGCTTTAAAAACTGGAAAACTCTTACTGAAAGACAAATGATACCACAGAACCTTCAATAAGGGTGTTAGAAGCGTCACCTTCCGGATACATTGCAATGGAAATCAAATCGCACCACAATATAAATCTATCATACTTCCATGCTTACGCTACTGTGTACAATTTTGCTTCTCCGTTTTGAGCAGAACAAAGAGTTGTAGAAGGAACGGATCTCATCAAAGCAAAGCTTGGCAAAGGGATGTTCATGTATTACAACTGTCAGAATCACACCATCTGGCAGAAGGATCCTAGCCATTGTAGTTAAAACAAACACATGAAAAAAATAGAACAAAACCTCTTGCAAGCTCTACCCAAAAGGGGTCTGCTTTAAAAACTGGAAAACTCTTACTGAAAGACAAATGATACCACAGAACCTTCAATAAGGGTGTTAGCCTATAAGGAGAAATGTGTTCACCCTAAGCAATAGTAAAGGTCTATTCAGCACACACAGATTTCTGAGTCTGGGACCACAGAAGCCATGTTTAACAGTGGCATAGTAAGAGACCACCAAGCTGTCGAATCAAAGATGGCAGTCTTTCCCTCCCCCTCCCCCCAAGACCAATGATTCCCAATTCTGGATCCCCAGATGTTCTCGGACTGCAACTCCACGCTAGCTGCAGCATTCTCAAACTTGTTGTCCAAAAATGCTGCTGGATAGGGTTCTCGGACTGCAACTCCATGCTAGCTGCGGCATTCTTGAACTTGTTGTCCAAAAATGCTGCTGGATAGCTCCGTGGTTGAGGTCTCTGGCTTCAGAGCCAGAGGTTGGGAGTTCGATTCCCCCACTGGGCCTCTTTGTCAGGGGCTGGACTCAGCCCTCCCTCGGGTCTCTTCCAAGCTCTGCAGTTCTAAGTTTTTTAAAAAATGAACTTTCTGCCATCTCTGCCCATCTCGGGTCTCTTCCAGCTCTGCAGTTCTAAGTTTTAAAAAAATGAACTTTCTGCCATCTCTGCCCAGGATGCTGAATTCGACTGCACCTCTCAAAAAAACAAAATCCTAGGCAGGATTGTAAGCCCTTGTTGATAGACCGGAAAATATGAGCTGCAACAAGCCTGCTGGAGCATGCTGCAGAAAACTTTAAACAGGGTGACATGTTGCACAGGTAATTTAATTCACCAAGGTAACCGGAATGCTGTTTTCTTCCTTGTACTACCTGGAGGAAAGGGGGGGGGAGCAGCCTTCAGCTGCTTTCCATTGGCTGGTCAAGTCCTTGTTTTTTCCCACATGGTGTCCTTTTATTGGCTCCCCCCCCCCCACAGGCGGTTGCCCTTTATGATAACAGAAGTGCCGGAGAGTCAGCTGTACTGCATCAGTGGCAAGCTCAGCTGCCTTACTGAGAAAGACAGCCCTACCAGGAATCCTGCACTGAAGAGGGGTGGAGGAAGAGCCCGTCCTGTGGGTGAACCCCGAACAGCAAGTTTCTAAAAGTTAAAAGTTACCGCCATGCATAGAGCCACTGGGGCGATCAAAGGCTGAAACCTTGCAAAGTAAGTAAGCTTGCAACACTCAGCTGAGTTAATTCAGGGGAACTCCGTTAGTTTTTAGAGATCATGACCAGGTATGCCTGCTGTACATTTAGAGAGCCAGGTTGGGGTGGTTTGGAAGGAAGGCCAGTATCTCCTTCCCTTGGCAGATGTTTGTTTAGATTCAGCAGCCACTGGGCAGAAAAATATCTCCCCATCCCAGCATTATATAACTATTGAAGGCATTATTCTTTCTTTTCTGTTAGCATGGAACTAAGTGTGCTTCTTGAATTCAGGACTGTTCTGAATTATTTCAGTGAAAAGAAACATACACAGATTTGTAAATGTACAAACCAAGCATTGAAGGTAATAAAAGTGCTCACCGTTAATGGGCTGGGAGGATGAAAGCAAGTAGTAATGAATGGTAGGTTTTTATGTCTCTGGAAAAGTGAAACTTGGTGGTTTGTTTATTCTAATTAAAGTTTTCCTCCTTTCTCGCCAGACCATCAGTTGGCAAGGATGTGGGATGGGGAGACATACAGTATGCAGGTACACAAGGATATAGGAGTTGTGAGTGTGTCCACCCACATAGTAGTCAGGCGCGCACACAGACACACACATAGGGGGGAATGAGAGAGAGAGAGATTTAGAAAATGACTCACTTTTTAAAGATTAGCAAATTGGCACGTCTTTGATGCCGAGTCCCGGGTCCCAAGCCCCAAATCTGAGCCCCTATTAAAAATAAGCTTTTATTCCCTCAGTAAAAAGGGAGAGATGGATGTGTATAGTGAATTGCATGTCGAGTCTGAGTTATTGGGGAAAAAAACCCAAGTCAAGTCACCAGTGTGAGTTAAATTCAACTTGATAGCAAGTCATATGACACTCAAGTCCCCAGCCCTGATGATTAAGGTGTGTCAGGATGTGGTTCAGGACGGATGGGTCAGATTCAGGCAAGGATGGGCACCATGGCTGGGTGCATGATTTTAGACAGCAACTCCCATTATCTCCCAGCATTGGCTAGGCGGGTTGTGGCTGGTGGGCTGTGATCAAGCAAGATCTGAAAAGCTAAAATTTTAAAGGTTTACATCAAACTAGCATACAGAGGAAAATCCAGAACAAGTTTATGTGTCAAAAGAGATGAAAAACAGGATTTGTGCATCATAACCAGGCTGGTTACAGACATATATTTTTTGAGTATTTATGAACTATTATACTAGAAGGGATCTACTATCACCATAGCCTACAAAATTACCTTCCTGAACTAAAACCTCCAGATCCCTCCCCAGTTAGCATGGAAGCTGTAGCCTGAAAAAGTAACTTTTCCATCTGTGATCATCACCCAGCTTCAGTGGCTGTGCAGAGGAGGTATGCAGCAGGACCCATGACAGAGAAAGGCATCCTTTACCAATTAGGGTACCCTCCAGATGTGCTGGGCTAAGGGAATGAGGTTGAAGCCCCACACATCTGGGAGACTGGTGTACAGGAAGTTGACTGAGGATCAGCCAGTTAAAAGACATTTGTTTGAGAATGTGTCATGAAGAACCATCAGAGGTGGCCAGAAACACACATGAAAAAGAATTTGAACTCAAATGGAGAATTGTTCACAGATGTTAAACCACAAAGGGAAGAGACTGTTGAGTGGTCCTACACTGGACTGCTATAGCAGTTTGATTCCATTCAAAGTACCCTAGCTCCATTGTATGGCATCCTGGGATTTATTGTTTGATTAAGTATATAGAGAGCTCTAATGCACCTCCTGGATCTACAGTAGAGAATTATAAACTTCTCATCCAACTAGCCCAGGATTCTGTATGGTGGAGCCATAGCAATTAAAGTTATAACTGTGTAGTGTAGGTACACTCCATGACTCTGCTACCAGCTGCTTTTGGATTTTTTTTTCAATACGCCTACTAGAATTCACCAGGAATTCCCTTAGCTAGAATTCTGTAACTTTAGCAACAAAAAAAAAAAACCCAAGTCTTATAAGAACGTCTTTATGCACAAGTGTCCCTTGGCAAATTTCTCTCTGCAGCAAAAGCCATTAAGGATGCAGAAGGAGGAAATAAATGGAGCTTTCTAAGCCCCATTGGAACTGCAAGGCATTAGAGGACTGGTAGTCTCTCTGTTCATTAGGCTCTGTTAAGGGTACCTCTCAAACAACTACCAAAAAGCTATTTTGCAATCAACATGGATGAAGATTGATTTTAATGCTAGTGCATGGCTACATCCTGGAAACTTTTCCAAATAACCGGAAGTGAACACCATTTTGAGCAGCATCATTCAGAATTATTGATTTGTAACTCACTGATTAGAAAGGTATTATGAGAGTGGCCTAGGGGCAAGCCTATCTTGCCTTGAGGGCACATTAGATTGTCCCTCTGATGTGTAGCTGTGTTGCCTCTGTTATCTCCAAAAGATGCCCCACACCAAACATTCCCCTGCATTTGGATACAGTACTTTGGGTGTTAGGAGGAATAGTTTGAGCCTGGCCTTCTCCCTGATTAGCTATTCTTCAACTCCCATGGACTTCTGATGTGGGTCTCTTCAAACAGGTGACTCTGCAAAACTCATTGGATGACAAATCCTGTCTTCCAGTAGGATTAATGCGGTTCCTCAATTGAGATGAAGAACATGTGACTCTGCAAATCTCATTGGACGACAAATCCTGTCTTCCAGTAGGATTAATGGCAAGTTGCTGTTGAACAAGATCTAGAAGTTTACAGGTTCCCCTTTCTTGTGACAGATCAGTGGTTCCCAGCCTTAGGTCCCCAGGTGTTCTTGGACTACAACTCCCAGAAATCCTGGCCAACACAGCTAGTGGTGAAGGCTTCTGGGAGTTTGAGTCTAAGAACATCTGGTGCCCAAGATTGGGAATTACTGTGGCAAAGAAGGGATGAGTCCCAAATATAGTAAGAGTCAGCACCTGAATGTGAGCAAATCCATCCACTAAGACTGAGAGCTAGACATGACAGTGGACACAGAGCTGCCGTGGAAAAAAGCAGCTTTCATCCCCCCCCTCCCCAATTATTTCAAGGGATATAAACAGCAACATTTCCCTGCTCCATCAACCTGCACCTAATGAAATGCAATAAATGCCTAAAATAAATACATAAAATGAAGTACAGCAATGGCACCTGACATTTCTAATTCAACCTTCTTCACCACAACGTGTTGAGCTACAACCTCCCATGCTGCCGACTACTCATGAGACTTCTAATCTTATATACAGTACCTGGAAGGGTACCAGTAAGTGGAGGCTGGCTTAATTCCTGCAAAAGATAGCCCACTGAACTGGAGAAAGTAACAAGACACTTCAACTCTATATCTGTGTATAGGTGGATCTGTATATGAAGGCATTTCTTGCAGGTTACTAAAACACCCAGTCATGACTAGGTAAAGGTAAAGGTTCCCCTTGACAATTTTGTCCAGTCGTGTCCGACTCTATGCAGCGGTGCTCATCTCCGTTTCCAACCCATATTTAGCGTTTGTCCAAAGACAATCTTCCGTGGTCACATGGCCAGCGCAACTAGACACGGAACGCCGTTTACCTTCCCACCGTGGTGGTCCCTATTTATCTACTCGCATTTTTATATGCTTTTGAATGACTAGGTTGGCAGGAGCTGGGACAAGTGACGGAGCTCACTCCATCGCATGGATTCAATCTTATGATTGCTGGTCTTCTGACCTCGCAGCACAGAGGCTTCTGCGGTTTAACCTGCAGTGCCACCACGTCCCTTTAGTCATGACCAAATCCAAGTAATTGTCTGACTGAACTAGAGATAACAAATTATTCTCTTCTCTTTCCTCTCCTCTCCTCTCTTCTTCTTCTCTTCTTCTCTTCTTCTCTTCTTCCCTTCTTTCCTTCCTTCCTTCCTTTCTTTCTTTCTTTCTTTCTTTCTTTCTTTCTTTCTTTCTTTCTTTCTTTCTTTCTTTCTTTCTTTCTTTCTTTCTTTCTTGAAACAAGATCTTGGGAAGAGTGTAGTTTGCACAGGATCATTGCTGGCAATTTGGGGAAGACAATTAATGGCCTGCTAAAGAAGCGGTGTGGGTTGTTTTGAAACCTGGCTGTGACTAGCATGCAAAACAGTACCCTTTCTTTTCTTATGGAAAAAAAGAGAGTCACGCCTCATTGGCTTCACAGGTGTGTGTTTTCCTATGATTTATGCAAGGTAGAGGAACTTGTTGAGTAATGAAGGTTAGAGTGGGTGGGGGGAGCAGGATGGCAATCTATTGAATGAAGCTTGAATGTGACCCAGCTTGGGAAACAAAACAAAAAAATGAGGTGGGTGGTGGAGCTGTTCAAAGTTACCTTGATGTCTGTAAGTTCAAGTGGCATGTCGCAAACATGAAAATAGTTGCAAGGGACATTTAAAAAAAAAAACCCTCCCTGCTAGTACCTTGTAACCTAACAGTGCAAGACAGCTCACTATACCCAATCCTCTTCCACCCTGGTGTCCTTCAAATGGGCTGGACTACAATGCCCGTGATCCTCAGGTGGGAAGTACCTGTCTGAGCAGGAGATCAGCAGGGCAGAGAAGCCTGAGCTGTTGCCCTGAACCGGAAGATCAGTTGAAGAGGTGCTGGAAGCTAGCACGCTGGACATGGTGGGTGGCTGATTGAGCCGGAAGAGGCAGGGGAGAAGAGCAGCTGCCTTTACAAATGGGGACGAACTAGGACAAACTGATCCATGCCCATCTCTACACTACAGTCTTTCAGGCAGTATTGCCACATCATCCATAACTAACTTTCTAAGGTCTTCACGGTTTGGATTCATAAAGGAGAAGGGACTCCAGGCTGAAGGCAAATCAGCCTGTCAGCTCCTGCAGTGTGCAGACTCTGGAGAAGCTGCTTCTTTTACTGCAGCTTCCAGAATCCCCTGACCAACACAGACCAGTGCCCATGAAGGCTATGGAAATATGGGAGTTGTACCCCTCCTCCCCCCAAATAATGTTCCCAGGCTCTGGTGATGCGGGTCTGGTGCCAGAGGCTCTTGAAGAAGGCAGGAGAACATAGATAAAGCTGCTCCATGCAGCTTCCTGCCCCCTCCTCCCAGTTTGCACCAGCTTTGGAAACATCAGCCCAATTCTAGGCCTGAGCAGCTGCAACTGCGTGCTTAGAGAATTTCACTGTTGTGCTTTTCAGTGACAGCAGAGTCACAGGTGCAGTTGAGGGACATTTAAATGCCAAATAAGGGTGTGTTTGTCACTGGAACCGAAGCATGCCGGTGCCACTGGTACAGAAACAATCATGCCAAGAGGAGAAAATAAATAGCTACAACAAGACTGCGCTATAATTTACCCAAACACAACATGTTACATGCACATCTTATAAAACATGGCAGTTTGGGCATCGGGACCAGGGCTGTTTAAAAAGCCGGCCAGAAAATGCAGTTGTTTACCAACACTCTGTTGTTTTTCCAGATTGATGCACGGGGAATGGCTGTGTTTCACTTGTCGTTGTTGTTTCTCCTGTTGCTTGCTCTCTTCAGCAACACCGGAAAAGGACAGCGAGACCCAGAGGTGTTCTGTGGAGGTTAGTGGCTTAGTTGAGCATTTCCTCATGTGTGTCTCGCTTGCTCGGTGCAGCACAGATGTCATTTTTTTAAAACAAATTTTACACATGCGCGCGCACACAATGTGGGCATGTTTAGCCTTGAGGAAAGACGACGGAGGGGAGATATGATAGCACTTTTCAAATACTTGAAATGTAGTCATACAGCAGAGGACGTGCAGGATCGGTTCTCGATCATCCCAGAATGCAGGACACGTAATAATGGGCTCAGGTGCCTGGGAGCCAGATTTAGGCTGAATATCAGGGAAAACTTCTTAACTGTTAGAGCAGTATGACAGCAGAACTAATTACCTCAGGAGATGGCGAGCACTCCAACGGGGGAGGCGTTCAAGAGAAAATTGGGGCACCCTCTGTCAGATCTGCTTTGATTGAGATTCCTGCATTGAGCAAGGAGGGGGGGGTTGGACCCGATGGCCCTATCATTCTATGATTCGGCAGAAGAGGGCATTTAAGAGAGAGCTTGTGTTGTGTGGAAACTAGAGTGTTAAGCTAGCCCTGAGGAACCCTGAGCTCTAATCCCAACTTAACTTGGGCCATTCACCCTTAATTTAGTCCAACCTAGCTCATAGGATTAAAAACAGGAGATTTAAAACAAGGATCCCTGGCATTACAAGTTCCTAAGCTCTTTGGAGAAAAGAGATTGCACTGCTGGTAATAATTTTCTTCTGAAAATTGATTAGATTAAATGAGGTTTTTTAATATCAGTTGTGCACGTGCAGGGGGGGGTGAGCTCTGGATAACATGCTACATTGGCAATATTACAATAGCCATAAAATGACTTCTCGCTTGGTATACATCCTTCTCTTTGACTGAATACAGTACCAAGATGCAGGAAGTCAGTCTATGGAGGAGCATCCATGTCACCCTTTCTTCTTCTCTGGTAATTCCACTGGGCTGTTTTTAAAAAAGAAGAAGAAGAAGCTTTGTCATCTATTGACAGTTTCACACACAAGGGGGAAAACTCTCCATCTGTGGTCTCCAAGCAGAGAGACAAGTGGTTGTGGCTTCTAACAGATGGCACAATGAGCAGTGAGAAAGATACCTCCCACCCACCCCTGACAGATAACCTGATACAAAACAGTTTGAACAACAGATTGACACAAATCCTCCTCCTCCACCACCCCTTATGAATGCCAGTGGCTGCAGACCCAGCCAGCCCTCCAGTCCTCCACCACCACCACCACCCCGGGGCCTAATCCCTGGGCAAAAAGTCTTGCTTGGGTGACGGAAGCACAGCCGTCTGGAGAGACAGGTGGCCATGTGTTTTCAGGAAAACACCAGAAGGAAACAGGGTGGCAAATGATGTGACTTAGACATCCAGAGAGAAAGAAAATATCCAACATGAGATGTCTGTCTGTCCGTCTTTCTGTCTGTCTACCTGTCTCGGAATATGTATGTCTCAAGGATTGACTACTGCAACGCTCTCTATGTGGGGCTGCCATTGAAGGCAGTTTGGAAGGTACAGCAGGTGCAAAACGCGGCAGCCAGATAGATAGATAGATAGATAGATAGATAGATAGATAGATAGATAGATAGATAGATAGATAGATAGATAGATAGATAGATAGATAGATAGATAGATATAGATAGATAGATAGATAGATAGATAGATAGATAGATAGATAGATAGATAGATAGATAGATCTAAATTTGACCATATTTCACCTGTCATGGCCTGCCTCCACTGGCTGCCAGTATACCTCCAGGCCAAATTCAAGGTACCAATGTTAACCTATAAAGCCCTTTACGGTTTAGGATCTCGCAACCTGTCAGAAGGCATCTCTCTTAGGTCATCCTCCCGTTCCACCCGCATCTCCCAATCCTCGGTGCTGTGGGTGGCCACTCCAAAGGTAAAGGTAAAGGTTCCCCTTAACAATTTTTGTCCAGTCATGTTTGATTCTAGGGGGCGGTCCTCACCCCCGTTTCCAAGCCATAGAGCAAGCATTTTTGTCCAAAGACAATCTTCCGTGGTCACATGGCCAGTGCGACTTAGACACGGAACGCCGTTACCTTCCCACCGAGGTGGTCCCTATTTATCTACTTGCATTTGCATGCTTTCGAACCGCTAGGTTGGCGGGAGCTGGGACAAGCGACGGGAGCTCACTCCGTCACATGGATTCGATCTTACGACTGCTTGGTCTTCTGACCCTGCAGCACAGACTTCTGCGGTTTAGCCCACAGCGCCACCACGTCCCTTGGCCACTCCAAAAGAGGCCCGGAAATCATCAACTAGAGGCTGGGGCTTCTCAACAATGGCTGCCCAACTCTGGAACTCCCTCCCTGCCGAGGTGCACTTGGTCCCTAACCCTCCAGAGCTCCCGAAAGTGAGTTAAAACCCAGCTTTTTACTCCGGCCTTTATAAGCCTCACCCCTCTGTAATATTAATTTTGTGGCAAGTTTATACTGGCCCATGCCTTGCCAAAGGGGACTATGTTTTCATATGTTCATTTTTTTAAAAAGGTTGTATATTTTTTGTTATTTTTCTGGAAGCTACCCAGAGTTGTGGCTTATAAGTTAAAGCAAATAAAAATAATAATAAAAAAAAGTATGTATGTATGCATAATAGATGCTATTATTCTAGGGCTGAAATCCAGTCATAAGGTGATGATGTCATTAGCCTGGAATGTTATTCTTTAATGTAATTAATTTTAATTTTCAGATTCCCCTTCCCACTGTTCCAAGATCCAGGGATCCCTAGGGATCCTTTTTCACCTGGGGAAACCTTTGGGAGCCTCAGGATTGGGGGTCAGGGAGCCATTAATATCCAAAAATTGTGGCCATATTGTATATATGTATATAAGTGTGTATAAACGGACTATATTGAAACACCTAAAATAATAATATTCCTATATCTCCCCTGCAATGTATGATCAATGTCAAAACAAAAAGAAAATGTTTTCTGCTGTTGTAAAATATAGATTGTATTTGTGTTTCTTTTTCCTTTAGTGAATTTCTTGATTCTGCTCTCAAATTTATATCTGGCATAAAGTCCCATTTCCACATGCACTGTTGGGTTAGAATTCAACTTTTCCCCCTTTCCTGCTCATTGGTTTGATTGCTGCCAGTAAACTGGAAGAAAAAGACCTTTTTTTCCCCTAATATGTTGTGTTCAGAAACCTAAATTCCCATTGTCTTCAGTCCATGACTTGGGAAGTTACTTTGAAAAAGTACAGTGGTGCCTCGTCTTACGAACACCTCTACTGACGACCATTTCAAGTTACAAGCAGATCTGGCTGCAAAATTTTGCTTCGACTTGCAACCGGAGCTTCCACTTATGAACAGAAAAAGACAGGGGAAAAGGCAGGAAATTCAAATTGCTAACTGTAGGTGGCAATGAGGCTGCTTCTTTGTAGCTCTTTTGCCCCAGCAGTTAGTGTGTGTGGGAGGAGGCTGGGGACTGGGGACTGCTTCTGCTTCTGAGTGAGCGTGTGTGTGTGTGTGTGTGTGTGTGTGTTTTCAGGGAGTGTTCGGGCTGCCTGGTAAGGTAAGGTGCTGTTTTCTGCTTTTTAAAAACTATTCTGGGTTTTTTTTGAAGCATGGTTTTGGGATGGGGGTTATGTTTCTGTGCTGTGATGGGTCTTGGGGGGTTTGTTTGCTTTTTGGTCCCCCCATTTCCGATGGGTCTTGGGGGGTTTGGTTGTTTTGGGTTTTTTTTCCCCCATTACCAATGGATCTTGGGGGATTTGTTTATTTTTTTGTACTCCCCCATTTCCGATGGGTCTTGGGGGTTTGGTTGCTTTTTGTGTCCCCCCCCAATTTCTGATAGTCCTGCATGCTTCTCTGGCTTTTTCCTTTGTTCTCTTTGCATTTCCGACCTGGTCCCTTTGTTTTTGCGCATTTCCAATCTGCTCCATTTGTTTTCTGTGCATTTCCGATGGGTCTTGCACGCTTGATTGCTTTTCCCCCCCTTTCTCCCTTTGGCCGGAAGGGATTAATTGTGTTTCCAATGAGTCTTGCAGTGATTTTTTTGGTGATTTTTTTTTCTTAGGCCGGAATGGATTAATTGCATTTCAATGCCTTCCTATGGGAAATGGTGCTTCGACTTACAGTATGACCATTTCGAGTTATGTCCATCTTCTGGAATGGATTATGGTTGTCAGTCAAGGCACCACTGTAATTGTTTACAGTTCTGCTGTCGATTTTTCTTTGTTGCTTTCGGTATATGTTTGTTCTATTTGTGTACTTATTTTTAAATTTTTCTGAGTGGCCTTTTATCCCTTTGCTAGAAGAAATATAAAATTAAAATGAAATAAATGAATGCATGAATCAATGAATGTTGTCTTAAAAGATCCTTTAGAGCAAGCTACATATGTGGACAAAATTCTGAGAAGTCCTTGATACGTCCCAATGTTATCAACCCTTTTCCCCTGAGCTGTTGAGAAAGCAACAGTTCATACAATCTGTAAACTATAGCAGCAGACTATTTACTGTTATTCAGGGTTCTCCTTTTGTCATGCATAGACTAGACAATGTATGTTCTTATTTCTGACAGGGCTGGTTATTTGTTGAACAATTTCAGCCTACTGAAGATGCAAGAAATTCGTACATTCTATTGCTTACCGTGTTTCCACAAAAATAAGACAGGAAAAATTGTACATTCTATTGCTTACCGTGTTTCCCCGAAAATAAGACAGGGTCTTATATTAATTTTGGCTCAAAAAAAACAAAACAAAAAACAAACAAACAAAAACAAAAACAAAAAACGCATTAGGGCTTATTTTCAGGGGATGATTTTTTTTCATGTTCAACAATCTACATTTATTCAAATACAGTCACATCATCTTCTGGTTGCTGCACAAGGGTGGAGGGTGGGAAAATAAAAACGATGGCTTATTTTTGGGGTAGGACATATTACAAAATAAAACCTATGGCTTATTTTTGGGGTAGGACATATTACAAGCATCCTGAGAAATCATACTAGGGCTTATTTTCAGGTTAGGTCTTATTTTTGGAGAAACAGG